TATTTCTGGTTTATTTGTCACATTCTAAGCAATAAATTATTTCTTGTTACACTTCTAATGTTGCATATTGTTCATTTATTTCTGTTGCATGTTTTTATTTGCCGTCGTACTCCCTGTCGCAGTTCGATCTGTGTGTTGCCAATTTTCATGATTTTTGGAAATTTTTTTGCCCGGGATATCCGGGCGTAGGCCCACCCCTTCATTTTGGTGATTTTCCATGTTCAGGACCCTGGGCTCTTACTTGAATAAATATGGTACATGTACTTTATTTTGCAGATATCTTTATAAAAATGAGATTGCAGAGATTGAAACAAATGCATTTATTGGGTTAAGATCACTGGAGCAATTGTATCTTTACTTTAATAACTTAGAACATTTAGAACCAGACACGTTTACTGACTTACCAGCATTAGAAAGATTGTAAGTATCTCACTAACTTGATTTCAGCTGCAGTAAACATACAGTTATGTGTCTTCTCACACATTACTATGCATAATGTATTTCACATGTTATCATATAGTTAGAGTGTTCTCACATGTTACCATATAGTTAGTGTGTTCTCACATGTTGTCATATAGTTAGTGTGTTCTCACATGTTATCATATAGTTAGTGTGTTCTCACATGTTATCATATAGTTAGTGTGTTCTCACATGTTACCATATAGTTAGTGTGTTCTCACATGTTGTCATATAGTGTGTTCTCACATGTTACCATATAGTTTATAGTGTGTTCTCACATGTTGTCATATAGTTAGTGTGTTCTCACATGTTACCATATAGTTAGTGTGTTCTCACAGGTTATCATATAATTAGTGTGTCTTCTCACATGTTACCATATAGTTAGTGTGTTCTCACATGTTACCATATAGTTAGTGTGTTCTCACATGTTACCATATAGTTAGTGTGTTCTCACATGTTACCATATAGTTAGTGTGTTCTCACATATTGCCATATAGTTAGTGTGTTCTCACATGTTGTCATATAGTTAGTGTGTTCTCACATGTTACCATATAGTTAGTGTGTTCTCACATGTTACCATATAGTCAGTGTGTTCTCACATGTTACCATATAGCATGTATGTAAATAGCTCTCTAGATGGTAGTTGAGCGCGGTAACTGAGCATCTCAGTTTTCACGAAGATACGAGTTGAGCGTATGCTCACTTTCAAAAGTAAGCGTGGAGCCAAACAATGGGAAGCTTGAGTGCGCTCACTTTTAAAAGTAAGCGTGAGGAAAAACCATGGAATGCTGGTGATGTAATGAAAGCTACGCTCAGTTTAACATGAAGTCGATACATGTTTCAGAGGTTCAACTTAAGTTAAAGTATCCAATCTGGATTCACAGAGCAGGACGTTTGTTAAAAATGACGCAACCATGTTTAATTAAATATTCATGCAGTTTGAACCTTATGACCTTGTAAGATCGAGGCGTCTGGTAATGATGGACTATGCTCACTTTTACGTGTGATAGTAGGTATGGGACCAACAATGGAATGAGAAGTGTGCGTGTCTGATTTCAAGTAACCATAAGTCGCTAGTGTATACATGAAGTTTTTGAGAGTACTATTTTGATTCACGCAAAATAAATGCCGGGATCGGCATTTATAGTAATAAAGATGCAACTCTGACTTTTGTCTTGAGTGTTTTCATTTGTCGGCATCTGTAAACAACGCTCAGTGACAAGCCAAACAATGGGATGCTTGAGTGCGCTCACTTTTAAAAGTAGGCGTGGGGACAAACCATGGAATGCTGGTAATGTAATGAAAGCTACGCTCAGTTTAACATGAAGTTGATACAAGTTCACATATTCACATGGAAGGACATTTGTTAAAGCATAGACTAAGGTCTATGAACAAAGCAACCATGTTTAAATAAATATTCATGCAGTTTGACCCCTATATCCTTGTAAGAAGGACGCATCAAAAAGTAGTCTTCCTCTATTCATTGTTGTGAGCGTCTCAGCTTTCTGATGATTCAAGTTGAGCGTACGCTCACTTTTAAAATTGGGCATGGAGCGAAACAATGGAATGCTTGAGGTAAGAGTTTACTTGAAAATTGAAGTCTTACAGCCCAATTAACACCTCGACCGAGGTGTGACACCTTATTGTTTATTGTGTAATCGGCGGCAATTTACTTTACAGATGGATGAATGGAGATGTCCGTTTCTGTCACTCGTAGACAACTAACCAGTAGAGTCCCAACAAGTATGGGTGGGATGAGAAGCATTATGTATATTAATAAATCTGTTTCCATGCCCGTTAGATAAATACGGCCAAGTAAATATCGAGCTTCCATTAAAATATTAGCGTTCAAGTGACTGTGCGTAGCTCCGATGTTTTGCCGCACGTCAAAGTATTGGCTTATTTGTTGTTACCACAGTGGATGACGGCTGTGTTTAAAATTCAGAAAAAGATCATCACGGTAATAGACAAAATGTCAGTGCCTGGTGTGTTTTTTTTATGCCAGGTTACAGCGGGTAGAGTTGTTTTTAATTCCAGCTGAGGTTACGAACCCAGGATTATGTTCGGTGATTGAAAATGTGACGCAATGTCCAACATTGAAAGCCTACGGGGTCTACGGGGTCGACCACCGAATACAATATTATAATAGTAATTTAGATGCAACGTTGACGTTAGTTTTGTCCCGATTGTTTTTATTTGTCGGCATCTATAACGACGCTCAATGATTATACAACCGTTTAATAATAATAATAACAAATTTATTGCATCCTTAGAAGTGCAAATGTTCTATTGGTTTACAGCAATAAATATATAAGTGATTAAAATAATATCAAAGTATGATAACGTAAAAAAAAATGTATTTTTAACGTTACAGAGAAGCAATGTAAAGCAAAGTAACAGAAAAGCAGCATATGTGTATATGGACACCAATGCAGTCTCGATCAAATGTGTATTTTACATGTAAATTTATATTTTCATGAGGGTCAGCCAATCGAAGCCAAATGATTCGTAACTGTACAATCACGAAATGATTCACGCACAATGCATAAATGTCGCGACGTGCAACTTTGCACTACCATTACTGTAGTGTAAATCTATGACGGTTGACCCGGACATATGAGCAAAATGGGAATGTACATTTCATTAAAAACGTCAGTCTTGTATGTGTGCACACTTTCACTTCATGCAAGTGTGCGCAACAACTCGTTGTCACTGAGCGTTGTTTACAGACGCTGACAAATGAAAACAATCAAGACAAAACAAATGTCAGAGTTGCATCTTTATTACTATTTATTATAATTGTGGCTGATCCTAGCATTTATCTTGCGTAAATCAAAATAATACTCTCAAAAACTTTATGTATACACTAGCGACTTATGGTTACTTGAAATCAGACACGCGCACTTCTCATTTCATTGCTAGTCCCATGCCTACTATTACACGTAAAAGTAAGCATAGTCCCTCATTACCAGACGCGTCCATCTTAGAAGGTCATAGGGTTCAAACTGCCTGAATATTTAATTAGTACGTCCATGGTTAAACTGAGCATAGCTTTCATTACATTACATGTACTAGCATTCCATGGTTTGTCCCAACGCTTATTTTTAAAAGTGAGCGCACTCAAGCTTTCCATTGTTTGGCTCCACGCTTACTTTTGGAAGTGAGCGTACGCTCAACTCTTATTTTCGTGAAAACTAAGACGCTCAGTAACCGTGCTCAACTACCACCTAGAGACTCATTTACATACCTCCATATAGTTAGTGTGTTCTCACATGTCACCAGATAATTAGTTTGTCTTCCCACATGTCACCAGATAGTGTGTGTTCTCACTTGTTATCATATAATTCATGTATCTTCTCACGAGTTACCAGAAAATTAGTGTCTTCTCACATGTCACCATATAATTAGTGTGTCTTCTCACATGTCACCATATAATTAGTGTGTGTTCTCACATTTTACCATATAATTAGTGTGTGTTCTCACATGTTACCATATAATTAGTGTGTGTTCTCACATGTTACCATATAATTAGTGTCTTCTCACATGTTACCATATAATTAGTGTGTTCTCACATGTCACCATATAATTAGTGTGTGTTCTCACATGTCACCATATAATTAGTGTGTCTTCTCACATGTTACCATATAATTAGTGTGTGTTCTCACATGTTACCATAAAATTAGTGTCTTCTCACATGTCACCATATAATTAGTGTGTCTTCTCACATGTTACCATATAATTAGTGTGTTCTCACATGTTACCATATAATTAGTGTGTCTTCTCACATGTCACCATATAATTAGTGTGTGTTCTCACATGTCACCATATAATTAGTGTGTCTTCTCACATGTTACCATATAATTAGTGTGTGTTCTCACATGTTACCATAAAATTAGTGTCTTCTCACATGTCACCATATAATTAGTGTGTCTTCTCACATGTTACCATATAATTAGTGTGTTCTCACATGTTACCATATAATTAGTGTGTCTTCTCACATGTTACCATATAATTAGTGTGTGTTCTCACATGTTACCATAAAATTAGTGTCTTCTCACATGTTACCATATAATTAGTGTGTCTTCTCACATGTCACCATATAATTAGTGTGTCTTCTCACATGTCACCATATAATTAGTGTGTCTTCTCACATGTTACCATATAATTAGTGTGTCTTCTCACATGTTACCATATAATTAGTGTGTCTTCTCACATGTTACCATATAATTAGTGCGTCTTCTCACATGTCACCATATAATTAGTGTGTCTTCTCACATGTTACCATATAATTAGTGTGTCTTCTCACATGTCACCATATAATTAGTGTGTCTTCTCACATGTTACCATATAATTAGTGTGTTCTCACATGTTAGAATACAATTACTGAGTAATTTCACGTTGTGAACAGTTCCTACTTATCCCATTGATTTTCTCATCACTTCTACCCATAAGCATTGGATTGTGCATGATTTCACTACCAGAAGCATGTGTCACTGTTTTTTATTTCTTTATTTTTTGTAGATTTCTGCATAATAATCAACTTGGTATCATAAAACCAGGAACTTTTAACAACCTAGATTCCCTCAAGAGGCTGTGAGTAAGCCACTGTTAAAGGGCAGTGGTCATTGTGTGTTTATGTGAATGAAGAATAAAAACAATGTATTTTGCACATGCTGTGTTACAAGCATAAATTGTCACAATGGCCACCGCCCTTTAAAACCACAATAGCTGTAACCATCGTTACTTTTTCTCCAATTTCTATTTTTAATAAGACATTTCTGGTGTCATTTATGCCAATTTGTAACTGTCATCACCAAAATATAGAAACTGAAGGCATAAGGATATATATATACACTACATGTATATCAATGTTGTGCATGAAATCACTTGCAAGTGCAGGTTTCTAACTAAGTCTCTAGGGGGTGTTATTTATTGAAATCCTGTTTCTCAAAGGAGCCTCTGGGATTTACAGTACAGGATGAAAAATGCCAGGGTGAAATGTTAAATACAACGGCAAGCTTGACATACTACGTTTCTTTCTGTCTGCCTCTCACTGGTGATTTTGTGTGTCAATTCCAATGATACTGTTCGTCAAGCGTCTCAATATTCTACAGTTCTAATACTTAGTGACCAATCTCAACAAAAATGAGGATTTCTTGATCAGTTTTAACATCGCATTTCATGGAATATTAGCCTCGTGTAGGGTGACTTTGTCCATGCAATTGCTTCTAAAACAATATTTCGATAATATTTTGTCACCAAGATTGATCCATTGCTGAAATTGAAATGCATGGGAAAACACTGCACCAAGATTGGTCCCATGCTGTAATTGAAATGCATGGGAAAACACTGCACCAAGATTGGTCACATGCTGTAAGTTGAAATGCATGGGAAAACACTGCACCAAGATTGGTCCCATGCTGTAATTGAAATGCATGGGAAAACACTGCACCAAGATTGGTCTCATGCTGTAATTGAAATGCATGGGAAAACACTGCACCAAGATTGGTCCCGTGCTGTAATTGGAATGCATGGAAAAACACTGCACCAAGATTGGTTCTATGCTGTAATTGAAATGCATGGGAAAACACTACACCAAGATTGGTCTCATGCTGTAATTGAAATGCATGGGAAAACACTGCACCAAGATTGGTCCCATGCTGTAATTGGAATGCATGGGAAAACACTGCACCAATATTGGTTCCATGCTGTAATTGAAATGCATGGGAAAACACTGCACCAAGATTGGTTCAATGCTGTAATTGAAATGCATGGGAAAACACTGCACCAAGATTGGTCCCATGCTGTAATTGAAATGCATGGGAAAACACTGCACCAAGATTGGTCCCATGCTGTAATTGAAATGCATGGGAAAACACTGCACCAAGATTGGTCCTATGCTGTAATTGAAATGCATGGGAAAACGCTGCACCAAGATTGGTCTCATGCTGTAATTGAAATGCATGGGAAAACACTGCACCAAGATTGGTCCTATGCTGTAATTGAAATGCATGGGAAAACACTGCACCAAGATTGGTCTCATGGTGTATTTGAAATGCATGGGAAAACACTGCAACAAGATTGGTCCCATGCTGTAATTGAAATGCATGGAAAAACACTGCACCAAGATTGGTTCC